CCCCCCCACCCCCACCCCCCACCCACGGCTGCAGACGCCCGCAAGGACTTGATCCTGCGCCAGCTGGGCCCCGCGGGCCCCATCAAGGCCAGCCTGAGTGGGGAGGAGCTGGAGCGGGTGGTGGCGCGCACCGAGGGCTACTCGGGGTGAGGGCTACTCGCAGGGGAGCAGCTGCATCTGTAGTGTCACACCGAGCGGGAGCACGATCCAGGCGGCGCTTTCGCCAGCCGCGTTCGGCGGCATCTGGCCACAGCCTGGATTGCCCTGTCTCTCCCTCCACACACCAACACACACACGCGCCTGCCCAGCCGACCCCCCCCCAAACACCACACACACCCACCAACCACCATCCACCACCACCACACACACACTCTCTCTCTCCCGCCTGCGTGCCGCAGCTCGGACATGAAGATGCTGATCCAGGAGGCGTGCCAGGGCCCCGTGCGCGACGCCTTCAAGGCCGACAGCGCGGCGCTGTCGGGGCTGACGGCGGAGGAGCTGCGCCCGGTGGTGCTCAGGGACTTCCAGGTGGGGGCTTCGCCCCAGGGTGGCGGGCAGGCTGGGCTGGCGGGCAGGCTGGGCTGGCGGGCAGGCGAGGCTGTGCTGTGCAGGCTGGCTGCCTAGTGGGAAGCTGGCGGCGCTCGGGGCTGGCTGAGACAGGGAGGAGGGAGGGAGGGGAGGGTCACGACAGCAACAGCCCAGGTGTGGTATGTGTGCATCACTGGCGCCGACGTGCGCGAGTGCTCCCCTGGCGCCCGCGCCCCGCGCAGATGGCGGCACGGGCGCAGAAGGCATCGGTGGAGCCGGCCGAGATCCAGCGGTACGAGCAGTACAACATCAAGCACGGCGCCAAGCTGGCGGGCAGCGGGGAGGAGGACATGGAGGAGGAGGAGTGGTAGCGGGGCGCCAGCGGGGCGCACCGCTGTGTGCGCCTGGCACGCCGGCGCCGATGTGCGGCAGCAGCAGCTGCAGCAGCAGCCACTTGGTGCTGCCTGAATGTGTGGTGGATGTCTAAGCACGCCCAGTGGCACAAGGCATGTTTACACAAGGCGGCGGCAGCGCGAGGGAATGTCAGGGGTGGTAGAGGGGAGCAACAGTGCGTGGTGAAGGGTACATGAGAGCCCTGAGGGGCTGGGGGACAGCATACATGCACGCACGCTCCCAGCAAAATGGTGTACAGGGAAAACAATCAGGGGCTGAGGGCTGGCCACAGAAACAGCAGCTCATGAAGCAAAAAAACGCATGTTGGACGGCGGCGGGGCTTTTTGATTTTGGTCTTCTCGCCCGCCCCCGCCCCACTCTCATTGTGACTGCATGTGGGTGGCGCTCAGTTGGGAATGATGGCGATCACTAGATGTAAAAGTGGCTGCGTGCCTGCTGCAGGGTCTGGCGGCGGGCGCCTACGCTGCTGGCTGCTCAGCCATGGGCTGGTGCTGGACGGCCGCAGGCAGCGGGCCGGAGTGGATGTCGGCCTGCATAGCAGCCAAGGAAGCCGCAGCCTCAGGACGGTTTCTGCTTGCAACATTTGCGGCGTGGCCAGCAACCCTGCGCTTGCAGTGGCGCGGCGTCGGCGTCGGCGGCGACGTCCACACAGCGGGAACCCTGCACCGGGCGCTGCCGCCTCACGTCGTGCGTTTCTAGGTCGATGCTCTTAGCCGTGAGCGGGGCGGTGCGCTTCTGAGGGCTTGCAGGGCGCGGGCCGGCAAGACTTGGGAGGTGTTTGGGAGAGTGCACGCGAGCAGGATGCAGGTGGGGGTCCTCCTTCGGCTTGTCATCCGCCCGCACGATGTTCAGCCGGGCTTTGATGGGCCCAAGGGCTTGCATCGCGTGCCGCAAGTCGCGGTGCGGGACCTAGAGCAAGTCGTGGGTGGCGGTGTCGGGCGGCTGCAATTCTAGAGTGCCTCAGGCTTCTGCAATAGCAGCCAGAGCCAGGTTTGGTTGCGCCAAAAGCGAGCCAAGTGGCGCGCCAGCCTGGACAGCTTGAACGCCTCACTTCACCGTTGTCTTAATCCTTGGATTGGCCGTCTCACATCTGAGGACCGCACGGGCACCCCACAGGTCTCCTCGCTGACACCCCCGTTTTGGTTGCACCGCGTGAGACCCCAGCACTGCTCCGAGGGGCCCGAGACCTTCACGGTGCTTGTGCAGCGCTGCCGGTGACCGTTGGACATGCTTCAGGGTGGTCAGCTGGTTGTTGGACCTGCGGGCTGTGTGAATCGAAGCGCAGTGCAGTTCGATCGCAGCGCAGTGCAGCAAGAGGCGGTGGGGAGTGCGGATTGCGACGCCCTGCAACCCCCCAGCAGTAGCGGCGCAGCCGACCGTCGCCGCCGCCGCTGCCACTCGCCGCTGCCGCTGCAGGCGTCCTGCACAACAGCAGAACTGCCATCTGGCTGCACGTGAAGCGTTGGCAACATGGAGTGGCTGTTCGGCAAGAAGAAGACCCCAGCAGGTGCGGACAGGCGCCACGGGGCGGGCAGCAAGTCGCCCCTTCATTCCGGCAGGACGGCGCTGCCATCCGCCTGCGCCGGCCAAACGGCTTTGACCCGAGGCCTGCGCTGCCTCCCGTGCACCACCGTCACGTGCCCCCTGCCCCCTTCTGGCAGAGCTGCTGCGTGAGAACAAGCGCATGCTGGACCGCGCGATCCGTGAGCTGGACCGGGAGCGCATGGGGCTGCAGACGCAGGAGAAGAAGCTGATCCTGGAGATCAAGAAGATGGCCAAGGAGGGGCAGATGGTGGGCGGCAGCGGCAGCGGGCCGGGGAGGGCATGGGTCAGGGGCAGGGGCAGGGGCAGGGGGCGAGCAGCAGGCTGCAGCTGAGGCAGGCAGCAGGGCAGGCGCTGGTGCGCGTGCGACCCTCGCCCACGTGCAACCCTCGCCCACAACCACCGGCCGGCGTCGAGCGCTGCACCCTCATCCCTAGCCCGCCCCGCCTCGCCCCGCCATGGCCCTGCAGGAGGCGGTCAAGGTGATGGCCAAGAGCCTGGTGCGCAACCGCCACGCCGTCAACAAGCTGTTCCAGCTCAAGAGCCAGCTGCAGGCGGTGTCGCTGCGGATAGCGGTGCGCGTGCGCTGCCGCCGCCGGCCAGCCACGCGTTGGCACCTGCGGGCCATGCGCTGTCGGCAATGCGCTGCCCACCCTGCACATGCGCAGCCTCCTGTCCCCGCCTGCTTGTGTGTATCGCCCCCCCCGCGGAGCCCGCCCCCGCCCTGCCCCATGCCTCACCACCCTCTCTGCCGTACGCGCCCCCCCGCCGCATCAGACGCTCAAGTCGACGCACGCGATGGGGGAGGCGATGGCGGGCGCCACCAAGGCCATGGGCGCCATGAACCGCCGCATGAACCTGCCCGCGGTGGCCAAGATCATGCGCGAGTTTGAGAAGCAGAATGAGCGCA